AATCAACCATCCAAAATAATTTAAATTGTAATAGGTACAAATTACAGAGAAAAAAAGAAAAAAAAATTAATTGGGTCAACCCGCGGGTTGACCCGTGACCCGTGATAGACGGGTTAGGGTCTGTCTTCATTGATCCGTGACCCGTTTTAACCCAACCCGTTTTGACCCGTTACTCGTTCTAACCCGACCCTAACCCGACCCAACCCCGACCCAACCCGCCCGTTTGCCAAGTCTAACTTTGTGTATTTTCCTTGGCTATCGTCCTCGTCATAAAGTATTCAAATGCGTTGACTTAAGCACCATTATATTTATTTTATCAAGGTATGTGGTTTTTAACGAGGCAATTTTCCCATATAGTGCTAGTGTCTCTCCATTAGCAGTTGTGCAGCATTTTCGGCATAAATCCATACAATGCCCCTGAACTTACTAACTTTAAGGTTGTTTACCCCTGAACTTATAAGTATAGAATTTATATCCTTGAACTCAAAAGTAAAAGGATTTTTGCCTGAGCCAATGGAAGAGGTTAAATCTCAGTTAAAAAAAAAAAAACCAGATAATAACAAAAGTGGTCCTCAAAGAATAGAAAAGTGATAGCTAAGTCCCAAAAGATTTTGATGGGAGATATTGCCACATATACAAGAACAATACTAAATATTTGCCATCATATTGAGCAAGTAGCCCAATCCAAAGAAAGAATTCTAGAAGAAATAAAAGAAAATAGTCAAAATGAATTAAGAAAAGAAAATGAGAGAGTAAACTCAATAATACAATTATATAATAGACGTATTAGATTTACAGAACATAAAATTAATAAATTAGGAGAAATTATTGATTTATTAAAATCAACATGAATAATGAACAAATAGATTGGATTACCATGTATCTACTCAATACATTAGGTAGAAGCATAATCCGTATAAAAGATATCATTTCCATTGATAAGATTCTTGAGACAAAAACTATCAATGTGAATAGTCTAGAAGAATTAGAGAGTTGGGAAAATCCCTTTCTCCAAAATTTGATTTTATTAAAGAAAGAATAAATGAAGTAAAAAATTCTAGAGATCTAAAAGAAATACAGTCTATTAAAGACTCAAAAACTTTGACATCTCGAGTTAAAAATATAGAACTTAAAATGGAAGAAATTCTTAAGATATTGAAAGCAATTAATCGCTGAAAAATTTACAATAAAAGTTTAAAGATGTATAATAGAATAATTCTATAACTAGAAAATGATATAGATAAAAATTTTTATAAGATGCAGACACAGCTCAAGGATCTATAAGATACTATAATATTAGTTTGTAGTAAGTGAAATATTGT